GGGGGGGGGGCGGTGAAGGGGAGGGAAGAGTTGGGGATGATAGGGGAAAAATAAAGGAGGGTGTAACAGTAACAGTGCTGGATAGGAAGTAGACTCATTACCTTGCTTTTGTAACTGTAACCCCTCTGTACAGTATCTTTACAATAAAAATATATGTTAAGGAAAAAAAATGTACTCATTACCTTACATATGTAACTTTAACCCCTTGGTACATCACCTTGACAATAAAATTAAATTTAAAAAGTAAAAAAAAATCATTTAAAAAATATTGGCTTTCTAGATCTTGCTCAAATCAAGTTATAGCTGAACTATAACTGATAACAATGCAGAATTATCTAAGTAATGCTACAAAACTTTACTGCAGATGGGATGAGAATTTTCATTTTAATCTTTTTAAAAAACATTATTTTTCTTCACTTCTAAGACTCTTTTATCCTTAATCTGGGCACCAGTGGCTAACACCTATAATCCTAGCTACTCAGGAGGCTGAGATTTGAAGATCCTGGGTCAAAGACTGCTTGAGTATGCAGGAAAGTCCATGAGACTCTCTCCAATAAACTACCAAAAACAAGGAGAAGGAGAATTATTATTATTATTATTATTAGTGGTGGATCCCTGGCCCAAGTGGTACAGCGCTAGCCTTCAGCAAAAGCTCAGGAACAGTTTAGGCCCCAAGTTCAAGCCTCAGGACTGGCAAAAAAAAAAAAAAGTTGTTAGATCTTAGATCTTCCTGTATTAAGCAATAAAAATTTCATCTTAAGTAAAATTATTATCAAAAACTTTTAAATGTTTCTGGGAATGTTAGAATGTCTGACTTCTTTATTAATCAATTGACCTTTACTATTAAATATTAGATATTAAATATTAAATTAGATATTAAAATGTTCTACTCTTCCAGAATAACATTTAATATTTTGACAGCAAGTAAATTCTCTAAAGAGCAATAAAATTACAATCAGAAAAGTCTATGCTTTCAAATGTATTTAGATGTTATTCAGTTTTGCTTGGTAGGATAAATGTGACTTTATGATCTATCTACAACCATGAACAGCTGCTTAGTAATAAAAAGCCATTAAAGCCCAAGTAGAACAGGTGGTCTAAAATTGTGCTTGAGGGGAAATAATAACAAAATATACACCACAATAAAAGTATACTTTGGTGAAAATGTAAGCAAATAAGTTGGGATGATTTGGAAACATAGGCCTGTGTTTGCAAGGTCTGTTCCAACCTTTTCAGCAGTTTGCAAGAGAGGGCTAAGCCTCTGATAGAGAATTTACAATAAACCACACAGGCTTTTAAACTGGTGAGTGATAGGTTGGAAGCCCACAGCCTAAATAAAATCAAGTAGGTGAATGGGCAGTGGTTGACTAGAAAAAAGTGGGAAAAATGGCTTGTGCATAAAGATGAAAGGCAATCCAGAAAGAAATTTTTCTATTCCTTGTGTTCCTCCCACTTGGCATTTGGTAGTCCCATTCTCCCACCCACACCAACTTCCTTCAGAGGAGTGGACTGAAAATTGAAGATTCCAAGAAGTGGTTCTCAAGCAAAATTCCAAATTAATAACAACTATGATCCCAACCTATGGGGTTACCACTCAACAAGTAAAGATTACTTTACAATATTCTTTTATAGGTATTTCTAATTTTTAAAGTTTAAAATATTTTTAAAATTTTTATTTTCTTTAAGCGATTGTACAAAGGAGTTGTCATTTAACAAAGCAGCTTATGAATACATTGCATCTTTATCAGTGTCATTCTTCTTAACATTCCTACCCACGTCCCTTCTCCCATCCCTTCCCTCACTCTTGCTCATTTTGCAGGATATACACTGGATTCTTGACTGCATTTCCCACTCGTCTCTTCCATTCATTTAGCATTTTCCCCTTGACAACACCCCACCTCATTCAAGTGTCTGTTCCCTGGTATTTTACTTGCTGAACTTTGATTCTGCCCTTTTAAAGAATTATACTATTTTTGTTCCTTGAATCTACTGTATTTCAGTTAATACATCTATAGACTCTTGTATACCACCTAATGCATTTACTTACAAGTTTGTAAATCCAGCTTCCACATATAAGGGAAACCATGCATCCTTTGTCTCTGTGGGCTTAAATTTGTATGACACACATTGAATTCTTGGCTGTGTTCTCCCCTCCTCCTCTTCATTGGTCTACCTTTCTCCCCTTTACCCTTTCCCACCCATTTCACATACCTGTTTCTGGTGTCTATTTTGCTGAACTTTGACTTTGCCCTTTCTAAGGAATTACACTATTGGAGTTATCCTTTGAATCAACCATATTCAGCTAGTACATTTATGTATACTTCCGTACTACTCAGTGTATTTACTTATATATTTATAAGCTAATTTTAGCAATCTTTGGCAAGATTTAATGCTTTCCATTTGTTGTGTCGAGAAGCAAGTACCCAGCAACTAATGTTTCTAGAAAAGTATATACTTTTGGTTAATTAGGAAATGGCAAGTTTAGTAAGGAAAAATAAAGAATCACCATATTATATGGTATAAAATATAATCTGAAGTAGAGATAAACTTACAACAAAAACAAAAAGTTTGCTTAGGTTAGGGTTAGTGAATATAGAGAATTCAAAATGAATTGGAATTTTAACTACTGGAAATTAGGCATTCAAAGAATAAAGTAGGTGTTGAGGCTGAAGAGGGTTTCCTGAATTTGGGAAGGGGGAAAAGTCTTAGTCCTATAAGTCATAACTGTGGTAAGAGCTGCTACTATGGATGTTTGCTACGTGCCTAACTCTGCACTAATAGGTCTGTAAGCACTAATTTATTGATAAGTTAACTTAGCTTAAGAAATTATCTATGTTTGCGAGGCACCAGTAGCTCAAGCCTTAATCCTAGCAACTCCAAAGGCTAAGATCAGAGGCACTTCATTCAAAGCCAGCCCAGGCAGATAAAAACCAAATTAAAAACCAATTAAAAACCAAAAAAAAGCCAGAGGTGGAACTGTGACTCAAGTGGTAAAGTGCGTTTTGAGTTCTGGGGACAAGGCCCAAGGATACTCTCTCTTTTTCTGTCTCTCTCAGTCTCTGTCTGCCTGTCTCTCTCTCTCTCCCTTTCACACACACACACACACACACACACACACACACACACACAGAAAGCGCCCATGTTTATCTACAATTCTAGCAAGAGTCCTAACTTATGAGTCTCTTTTCAAGGATAAACATATAAAACTATTGGCCAGGTGTGGGGGTTCACACGTGTAATTCCAGCACTCTGGACGCAGCTCTCGGAGAATCCCAAGTTTGAGGCCAGCCTGGGCTACATGGCAAGATATCTTAACAAAAGCAAAAAATTAAAACTACTAATAGAAACATAGAGCAAATCGGAGTGTGGAATATGGGGCAGAATACTACAAAGTTAAATGTATGGGGGGGGGGAATAAGGGTGAGTGAAGAAAAAGGTAGTTTTAAAAAAAAAAAACTAAAGGAATAGGCCGGGACAATTTACATAAACCATTTTTAGTCTTAGCAGGTGTATATAGTCATCAGTCACTTTGAGTAAGAGAGATCCCGTGCCCACCACAGCAAAGGACTCTAGCCTTTTAATAGCAGGAAGGGTAATAGGATTCAGATTTCAGAGAAGACCACTGCACGAACACAGATGGAAAGAATGGTTAGCTCGAAACCACAAGCTAGGAACAAACGGACCAGCAAGAAAACTCAATTAAAAGTTGGCGGGAAGGGCTGCGTTCTCAAGGACACACAGCATTTACCATCCCTCAAGGGGGAGAATGGCTGGCACCTGTCCCGCCACAGGGGACAGAGGCAGGGGAGGTATTTCAAGCAATATAGGCGTTGCTTCTTATTCCCCTCTGGTAGAGGGTTCTGCGGGTGGAAGAGTCAGGGGCTCCGCTGCCGGGAAGGCACCGGACACTTTAAAAAGATACACACGGAAAGCACAGCATGGCCCTGGTCCAGGCGCCCCTCCACGCCAACGGCCACGGCCAGCCTTCCCAGGTTCGCCTCGCCTCTCGGCCCTCATTGGCGCCCAGTTCTGACGTCACACCAGGAAGCTCTCGCCTATTGGGCCAAACCAGACTTGGGGCGGCATGCGGAAGTAAAGGCCTTGGAAACAACCAAGAGCCGCCTCCAAGGAGGGCGGAGTGGGAGGGCCCCGGGGGCGGAGTTGCCGGCGAGGGGGCGGCTATGGCAGCTGCGCGGCTGCCACGGCGGCTGCCACGGAGCGCGCGCCCGGCTTTGAATGAGCAAGGTTGAGACGCAGCCCGGCGTCGAGCGCGAGCTCGAGGAAGCGACTGGCGGCGCGTGCGCGCGCCTCGTGTGCGCGCGCGCGTCCCGCGGCAGCTCGGAGCCTCCGCCGGGCGGGCGGGGAGGGGGAGGGGCAGGTGAGTCTGTGCACGTTGCTTGCGCCTCGCGCGTGGCTTCCCCCCCCCTTCCCTACCCTTTCCCCGACCTCAGCCTCAGGGATGACGCCGGCCTTTCCCCACCTCAGTCCTCTGCCTCCCACGGTCCACCTTCCTACCTGCCTTTTCATCCCTCTCACTGGGCCTTCCCTGAACAGCCGACCGCCGCTCTGGAGTACTGCTTCCGGGTCAGGGTGACCTCTGGGGTCAGCGAGGCGCGACCCGGGGTGGCGCGGGGCCGTTCGGCCCTCGCCACACCAGGGGGCCGGGCTGGTGGGGCACAGGCCCGGGGACCCCCAAATCCTGAAATGTACCGGTCCTTCCCGCCGTTCCGCTCCAGGCCGCGCACCTTTCACGGCAGGTTCGTCCACAGTCCCGATCGGAGCCCACCGGGCGCTCGGGCCAGCCACCCGGTGCGGCTCACGTGACGCCGTGTGCGGGGCGCGTGCGGGGCGCGTGCGAGCGTGGGGTGCTGTGACCTGGCGCGCTCGCGTTGTTGTTCTCATCTGTGCAGTGGGTGTGATTCGTTTCTACCACCAACCGATTTGAGGTCGGGTCATCACTTGGGAGATTGGTTTGGGTCGTTCCGGAGCCCTCTCCCGCGCGCGCCCCGCGCCCCACGCAGCCCCCCGTCTCCGGGCCCGGCCCTTGGCAGTGCGGCTCCTTCCCCCTCACCGCCGGCCTGCAGAACGCCACTTGTTTCCCCTTGTCTGTCACGTCGCTGCCGAACCTTTTAATTTTACATGTAAATTCCAGGTAAAACTTAAATGTGGGACTTGGTGACAGCCTTCTTCAGAGAGTTACAGACTTGTATTTGGTGATAGCCTGCGCCCCAGTAGATCAGAGAGGCATTTCAGATGCTAGTCTATGCAAAGATTCAAAAAGGTGGCCCTGGGCCACCTTAGGGTGCTGCCTTACATTGGCTCGCCTTCATGAGTGGTCATACCATGGATCTGTACATTCGAGCTATCAGTTTTTAATACAGGTAGTTTTTTTTAATTGTAAGAAAGTATTAATTGGAAGTACAGCTTCCATTCCGATTCACTTCTAGGGATATCTTTTTTTGAAGCCCTTAGGTTCGATTGCTTCCCAGTCCTGAACCTAAGTCTGCTATAACTCAAGTTGCTGTATTTTCCTACTGATTTTAAGGAAACTCTAACTCTACAATTAGACTATGTTAAATTTCCTAGTTCTAGAAAGCATTTGAAAATCCTAACTATAGTGCTAGGTTGTCTACAATACATACTTCTCAGATTGGTGACCTCCAGGGTATTTTAAACAATCACAGTAAAGCATTGTGAATAAAATTTGAAGGTTTCTCAAGTGGAATATGATAAAGGAAGAGTGTAAGGCTCGATTGAGATCAGTCTCTTCAAGATCCTGTTCGAGTGATTCACTCATAAAGCCAATTCTGGGTATCATCTGTTAAGTGGGGATAGTGAAAACTATTGAACTATGTCATGAACATATCAAGAGATCAAGGAATATTAATTCAAGAAGTATTTTCGTTCCACCTATGTCCCCGGCATTGGCTGAGATCTGGAGACGACAAACTGAGTTATGGACTTACACTCTGGTAGACCAAGTGTAGGAAAAAACTCCTGACAATTGAGTGGCTCAGGCAAGGTTTCTGTGTACCATTAAAAGCGTTGGGAAGTACTTCCCAGTACATACTGTAGTGTTCATTACATAGTGGGTGTTGGTTATACTCAATAATACTGAATTATATTTTGAATAGAACATTTAAGTAAATACAGGTCTGAAGTTTATTCCTGTCTGAAAAATAGTACAACTGATAAGAATCAGATGTTACTTGATAGTCTAATCATATTTCCCCTTCAGTGCTCTCAGTTGGAAATTCTTTCTTCAAGGTTATAATATCTCCGTTGAATTACTAAGAATGTTCATTATTAGTAAGTTATTCTTGGTTTTTGAATTCTTGGTTCGAATCCAAATACATGAGTAGAGGACCATGGGAGCATGTCCTTTATTTAGTCTTTGCTTCAATTCTGTGAAAGGATGACAGAAATTACCCCATAAGGTGGTGGTGTGGGATAAGTGGGCTACTCTATATTGCTTGGTACATCGTAGATAAGTAAATATTAGTTCTCTTTCTTTGATCACAAAAGCAAATTACAGAATGGAAATACTCTTAATTGCTAAGGAAGAGGGTTTTGTTCTGTCATCAATAATATGTCTTTGTTACTGTATTGGAAAAAATGCTTGAAATTTTATTTTCAGACACTATTATAGTCATTCAGAATGATAACTATATATTGAATAATGGCACTAAAAATATTTGTGGGAAAGTGATAGCTGTGGTTACCAAGTTTTTGTGGGAAGTTTTTTGCTAATTTTTATTCATGTATATCTTGAGATTGACCTGTCTATTCCCTAAATATTAAATGGATGCTTTTCGAAAAAAAAAAAAGAGTCACCAGTTTCACATGCTGTAAGTCTTCTAGCTATTTTTTGTATAGTTTTTTGAAAAGTACACTAAATTTTTTTTGGAGGGAGGTTTGCTTTTCTTTAGGTTCTTGATAACCAGCATGAAATAAACCTCTTAACTTGCCATTTGAGTTGTTCAGCTCATTTTGTAATGAAACAATCACACCTTTCAAGTCTTTGCAAAGGGTAACTGAAAGTACCAAGTGAACAAAATCCTCTGGGGAAATATCTTCAGGGTAATTATTGTACATGGAAATAACTGTATTACAAAATTGAAGATGTAAGTTTCTCAGTAAGGGAATACTAGAATTAAAAAGACTTGGCATTAGCAAGAGACAAAGGCTTGCAACCAGGCAGATTGCAGTGCATATTGGAAAGCAATGAGAACTCTTGGGAAATTGAAAAATCTTTTTGGCAGTTTGGATATAAGTATTGTTGTACTTTTTGAACTGGAATAAAACAATTGGGGATATATCAATTGAATAGTGAAATGTATTTTCAGTATTTTTTTCTTTCATTTTCTTTCAATGTTACTCTTTCTATCCTCTCAATAAGTATATCATCTCGAGGCATAGACATTGAGTAAATCATTCAACTCCTCTTCAACTCCTTTGTCCATATGCACAGTGGTACTCTTTGTCCATATGCACAGTGGCTTTACTAAGTACATTTAAGTATATTTTCCGTGCTTTCTGGTTTGTTTGTTGTATATAACTTTGAACTTTAATGTTGAAGTATTATATATACAATATTTACAATTAGAGTGTATGATATTGCTACCATCCAGATGAAGATAAGATTTTAGTTTCCTAATGTTTCCTTCTCTTTCCATCAGAGGTGACCATTTAATGTTTAACTTGAAATCTGCTCAGTGTAATTTCATTGGATTCATTACAAAAATTGTATAATAAGCTATATTCAAGACATACTATTTTTTAAAAAGATTGAGTATCCCATTTTCAAAAAATTTCCACCAGAAGTGTTTGAAATATCAGATTAGCTCTTTTTAGAGTCTTAGAATATTTACATTTACACAATGAGACATCTTGAGAATAGGTTCTACACTAAGGATGAAAATCATTCATTTCATATACACCTATGGTAAATTTAAACAATATATTTAATTTAAAATTTCATACATGAAATTTTACTTGTGACACTCATTCATATTTTACATTAGAGATGCTGAATTTGTATCTATTAATTAAAATCAAAACAGGTATTCTCTGCTTTAATTCCCATGTAATTTAACAGCATGTTACTATTAGTAAGGATGATGTATTTTTCTTGGAAGTTGATTTATTTTTATTGCTATTTTTTTCCCTTTGGTGGTATAGTATTTGAAATTAGTGGCTTGTGTTTACTCAGTAAGCAAGTATGCTTCTATTTGACCCACATCTTCAGCTCTTGGTGCTTCAGTTGTTTTTTTGTTTGTTTGTTTTTGTTGTTGTTGTTGTTTACAGTTTAGTGCTTTTTTTGCCTGAACAGGCTTTATCTCCCATATAGCTATTAACTATTTTGTGAATATATTAATATGTTAACATATCAAGGAATATTTTAGTTCCACTATTTTTTTTACCTGTGTTGTCTTCAGACTATGACTTTTCAGTCTCCAATCTTTGAATAGGTAGGATTTGAATAGGTATATTCCACCATATCCAATCTGTCCAGAATAGTTTTAATTTTTTTGTTATAGTTACAAATGTTACTATTTATCTCATATAGTAACCTCACAAAAATAACGTTTCACTTTTGAAAAAGAATATTTTTTCTTTAATGTAGTTATTACTGAAATTGTATCTCATTCCCTTTTAAGTAAATATGTATGCAGCTGTATTTTAGGCATAGTTAACATGTTTGGAAAAAATGTTCCAAAACACAAGTAATTGCTTCTAAAGTTGTTGACAAGAGACTGTGAGGCCAGTATGTTTTCTTTGTGAGGTTATTTTGTTATGGTTGTTGTTGTTTGTGCCTGTCCTGGGACTTGAACAAAGGGCCCAGGTGGTGGTCTGAGCTTTTTTGCTCAAGGGTAGTGCTCTACCACTTGAACCACTGGTCCACTTCTGGCTTTTTGAAGGTTAATTGGAGATAAGAATTTCATGGACTTTTCCTGCCCAGGCCTGCTTTGAGCCACAATCCTCTGAGAAGCAGAGGCTTCCTGAGTAGGATGGCAGAGCCACCTGTACCTGGCTCATTGTAAGTTTTGTTATTAGGCCACTACTCATTGAATAAAACAGTTAACTTCAGTTTATGTCACCTTCTGCATTTAGAAAAGTAAGAAATTGGATCATGTTACTCCAATACAGCAGCTGTATGATTCTAAATGCTCACTCAGTGATCCTTCATTGACAAGTAAAATGCAAGAAGCTCAGACTTGAAATTCTTTCATCAGAAAAATCGTGTGTGTGTTTGTGTGTGTGTGTGCGCGCGCACGCTCATGTGTACGTGTGTACCTCTGTATTTCTTGCAACTTAGTTTAACATATAATCTCTTATCTCAGTAAGGGGAAATGACAATCTCATAGATTTACAAATTTTAATTTCCCTTGTTCTGCAGCTATTTTTTACTTAATTGTAACTATTAAGGTAGCACGAATATGTATAACATGTATATGTATTTGTAGCATTACATGTATCTATTAAGGTAATATGTATATGTTTGGAAATAATGAACATTTTTAAAAAGGTAATAATTAGTCCTCAGTTTCTATTTGGCTTTAGCTCTCAGTAACATTTTTAAAATATGGAAATAACTCTTTAGACCATAGGAAGGCATGTATGAGTGTAATTTTTAAGGACTGACATACTGTAGATATTCTCTCTGTACTTAAATTGCAAAAACATTGCTGGGTGCCAGTGGTTCACACTTGTAATCCTGTCTACTCAGGAGGCTAAGATTTGAGGCTTACAGTTCAAAGCCAGCCCAGGCAGGAAAGTCTCTGATACTCTTATCTCTGATTAAATCACCAAAAAGCTGGAAGTAGAGCTGTGGCTCAAGTGGTAAAATACTAGTTTTGAACAATAAAGCTCAGGGATAATGACCAGGCCCTGAGTTCAAGCCCAAGAGCAGCACACACAAAAATATGTAAATAAGATGAAATATCAATTCTATGTGTGATCAGTTTATTTACCTTCCTGTTATCTCTGTTTCACTATCTAAATTTGGAATAGAATATGATTTAAGTTCTTCATGGAGACATTGTAGATATTAAATGAGTTACTATATAGAGGGCATTAAGCAAGAATGTTTATTAAAAAAATTAGCTTTTACAATATATTGAGGTATATCTGTTGTTTTTGTTACTATTTGCCCTACTTTCCTAATGATAATTGGCTCTCCAGAAAAAAAATATAGTATTAAAATTTAAATTATAATCAAAAAATTTCTAAAGGACAAGATTATTTAAGAATATCTCAGCCGGGCGCTGGTGGCTCACGCCGTGAGACTCCTATCTCCAATAAACCACCAGAAAACCGGAAGTGGCGCTGTAGCTCAAGTGGTAGAGCGCTCGCCTTGAGCTGAAGAGCTGAGGGACAGTGCCCAGGCCCAGAGTTCAAGTCCCACGACCGACCAAAAAAAAAAAAAAAAAAGAATATCTCAATATACATTGTTTTAACAGCTTTGTGTGTGTGCACGTGCGCGCATGCTTGCACCAGTTCTGGACACTGTCCTGGAGCTTTTTTGCTTAAGTGTTCTACCACTTGAGCTACAGCTTCATTGGCCTTTATTTGGTGGTTAATTGGAGATGAGTCTCACAGTTTGCTGCCCAGGCTGGCTTTGAATCCCACTCCTTAGATCTTAACCCTCCTGAGTAGCTAGGATTATAGTCAGGAGCCACCAGCACCTAGCTTGTTTTAACAGCTTTTTGAGATATAATAAATTGCACTTATTTGAAGTCCACAACTGGATTCAACTTACTAATATTTTAAGGCGTCCTAAAGATGGTATCTTCTAGAATTGTTTTTTGAGGGGAAGGAATAATACATTTGTCTGAGTTTGTTTCAGTGTAATGCTGGCATCGAATAGTAAAATGAGAAATATTCCCTTTTTTCCAGGTCTTTAATGGTTTGTATAAAATTAATATTCCCAAATGTTCAGTAGAATCCCCAAGTGTTGGGTAGAATTCAGCAGTAAAGACACTTGGGCTGGGAAAATTTTTAGACACACAATCTCTTTAATAGATAGAGATTTAAGTTATCTCTTCTTATTGTACTTTGAGAACTTGTGTCTACCAGAGAATTTGCCTGTTTTATCTCCTTATATAAAGTGAAATAGGTATAAAGTTGCTTACAATGCTTATTTTTTCAGTATATATACCACCTTCTTCATTTATGATAACTGGCAAACATTTTTATGTATATTTTAGGTATGTTCAGTTAATTGACTCCTCTATCATTGTGAAATGATTGCTTTTTTTCTTAGTAATATTTTCCTAACATATCTGACATTGAAATGTCTGACACATTAACTTTCTTTTTATTCATTTAAGCATAAGTGTTATTTTCTCCATCCTTTTATTTGTAACTTAATATTTAAAATGTATTATTTTAGGCAGCATATAGTTTTTCTTTTAACCAATCTAATAATACCTGCCTTTTTATTAGTTTAAGCAATTTGCATTTATTGTGGTTACTATGATGATTAGGCTAAGTTTCATCCTGCAGTTTATTTTCAGTTTATCCATTGTTCTTCCTCCTTTCTTTGTTTTCTGCTTCCTCTACTAATGAGCATTTTCATCTTCTTTGTTAGCTAATTGGTAAGATCCTTTATCAAATGACTTAATTGACTCAGTAAAATTATGCCTACTTGCCAGTATTTCCTCAGATTTGTAAATTACTGGACTTGATATATTCTCTGATTAGTTTTAGTTCATTACTTTGCACAACATATCTTCCTCATTGACTTTCTCCATCTATAAAATGGGAATAATAAAATCTAGCTTTATAAATGTTACATTATAAAAAATGTTAACGTTAATTACATTTAATTATATTTTGATAGAGCCATGGTCATATGTTTCATACTTCAAAAAACTATATTATATTTTCTTATACTTTTTTTGGGTCATGGGTCTATATTATATTTTCTTATATATAAACCTTTTTTGTTTTTTGGTCATGAGGCTTGAACTCTGGGCCTGGGCTCTATCCCTCAGCTATTCAGCTCAAGGCAAGTGCTCTACTATTTGAGCCACAGTGCCACTTCCAGTTTTCTGGTGGAGATAAGAGTCTCAAGGACTTTCCTATCCAAGCTGGCTTTTATTTATTTATTTATTTTTGGTGCTGGTCCTTAGGGTTCGAACTCTTGGTGGGAGTGCTGTCCCTGGCCTTTTTTGCTCAAAGCTAATGCTCTACCATTTGAGCCATGGTACCACTTCCAGCATTTTGGTGGTTAATTGTATGGAGCTAAGAATCTCATGGACTTTTCTGCTGGGTCTGACTTCAAACCATGACCATCACATCTCAGCCTGTTGAGTAGCTGAGCAAAACATTTTTTCTAAACAACTCAACATAAAGTATCTTCACTATTAAAATGCTTCAAAAACCTAGTTTTTATGGTTTGGGTTTTAGTAAAGTATTTGTGGTTTCTAGAGAAAAACAAAAATGACCAATTATTTTCAATGACAGGAAGATGGCTCGTGGAATCAGTTGAGTGATGCTTTGTGTATACTTTTTCCACAGGTTTTGATTCCCACCATGGCCATCACTCAGTTTCGGCTATTTAAAGTTTGTACCTGCTTAGCAACAGTATTCTCATTCCTAAAGAGATTAATATGCAGGTAAATAAATTCTCTATTCATATTTCCAACAGTAGATTTGATAACATTCCTCATGATGGATGTTTCTAATGCTTGAAAGAAGTTTTTGTGTCTTTGTATTTTTGATGATGTATTTGAAAAATTAGAATGGTCACAATCAAAAGCAAGTACTACCCAAAAATTAAAGTGGGATGGAAAATGAGGTCTGCAGTTTCCATTTCCAGAGTTTAAGAAGTTATCAATACATTTGCCTCAGGTATATACCTTTTGTTAGTAAGACATTTAATATAAAGATAATTACTTTGTTTTCCACATGGCTACTAAGCAGTCATATACACGTTATTTGGGACTGTTTCATCAATAGAACTGTGAGGTATTTGTTTTGACTGAAAAGTACTGTGAAACATACACTGACAAAACTAAAGTAGAATAAAGTGCCATGGGGCTTATTGCTAAAAATACAATGGTTTGGGATTTTTGTGGTTAAGATCTAGGCTCTTTCATTGGGAATAGGTATATGAAGTAGAATTGAAATGATCATTGGGAGAGAAGAAAGAAATGGAAAAATTTGGTGACAGGCTATTTAAATCACCCAAGAAGACAGGATTGGGAGTGTAAAAAAAAAAAACAAACGAACAACAATGAATTGATTGTTTAGATCATAGAGAATGAAGAGGAATGGCCAGAAGTTCACTGCAATAAAAACGAGTGTTAATTGCCAGAAAGCAAAAGATTAAAAGAAGTATTGTGTTAACATAAATGAATAATAGCTGTTTTCTTCTTCCATCTATATTTTCTAAAATGCTGTTCAATACAGGTTAGCTTTACAATGGAAATTGCATATGAGTTGACCTTTTTATTGTTTTTATAAATTTCAAACTACTTTGCAGTTATGTTCTTGTCTGTTCTGAGTCCTCACCCAAAACAAGTTATCTTGATTTGAAATCTCTTCATAATAGCTTCATGAAATATTTTACAATAATTGTAAAATTGAAAGATCTTGTTATATAAAACTTTAATTGCTGTCCATAATGCTTTTCATTCATGTTTGTTTGGGTGGGTTTTTTTTCTCCAATGTTTATATTAGGTCTGGCAGAGGAAGAAAATTAAGTGGAGACCAAATAACTTTGCCAACTACAGTTGATTATTCTTCAGTTCCAAAGCAGGTAAGTTTTGAGAATTTTCAATCATTTGGAAAAATTCCAAACTATTCCAGTATATTATTTTTCAAACTGATTATCTATTATTAGTCATAAAATTAATTTGGCCCTCAGAATTTTGTTGCTTTTCTTACATTTTTTTAGTTCTAAAACCTCTCTGTGAGTCTTCATTTTATCTGCTATTTCATTGATGATATTTTATATTTTTGAGTGGTTTCAAGTGTTTCCTATTATTTTTTGAAACATTTTTGTCTTAAAGCCTTAGGCAAGGTAATTCTAACCTTTATATCATGTTCAAGTTGTTCTATAGAAATGAACTTTACATGCAAATTAAAATGTATTGATTCCATAGATACTGAATAATTACTTTTTAATTGTTTCATAAACCTTTTAGATACTATTTTCTGAGACTCTTAGTCTTTTGGATAATTTTTTTTTAATCAGATCATCAGTATGATTTGACTTGGATGAATTCCAGCCTTCCTTCTATGCATTAAAATTCTAATGTTAGTTTACTTTTCGAAGCATATACTTTTGTTTTACTTAAGGAAAAAAATGAATAGAACAAAACAAAAGAGAACAGAATAATATGTCATAATGTCTAGCCCACAGTACATGTTGTTTTTTAAACCTTTGATTTAATTTTGCAATGTGATTTGAAATGCCTATTTTTCTGTGGGTAAAAAGTTTGAAAACATGTACTTAAAAGTGTAGTTTTCTAATAATGTATTAATGAGATGTTTATTAAGTTTCTTTCTCCTTTTTTGTTGATAATCTTAATCAATTACATATAGACAGATGTAGAGGAGTGGACCTCCTGGGATGAAGATGCACCCACAAGTGTAAAGATTGAAGGAGGGAATGGCAATGTGGCATCACAACAAAATGCTTTGGAACAACTGGAACCAGACTATTTTAAGGACATGACACCAACTATAAGGAAAACTCAGAAAGTATGTTATAAAAGATTTGTGGTTTGGGAGACTTCAACTTCCTTTAATTAAAATTAAGATAATATAAGAAGTATTTATTGGCCTCCTTCCAATTATCACTAATAATTATTTTTGTCATTTTATATAAGAATTTCATATATTCTGATGCCTTAAATACATCTAATAAATTATTTTCCCAAGTCTTTTAGTACTATAAGCATTTATTAGAATTCTGCTGTCTCTCAGATGCTGGACTCTAGTCTCTGCTATAGGAGAATAGGTTGAATAAGTAACAGTTTGAATAAGTACTCAGACAACAAACAGCTTCCCGGGCTCTCAGGTCTTAGAGTAATTATTATGGTTTTGATAGTCATGCATACTTTATTTAATCTCTTCTGAGTTGAATATGGAAGATGTAGAGAATTACTGGATAAAGTCCAGTGTCCAATAGTATCTCTTCCTTATATGAAAATTATACATGTGATTTTTTTTTTCAGTTTTGAATTCAAGGTATTCTATTTGCTAGGCTAGTTCAGTATTACTGAGCCATGCCTTCAGCCCAGTTTTTCACTGATTATTTTTACAATAATGTCTTGCTTCCCATTAGGTTTGTGCCTGGGCTGCCATATGCCTACGTCAGACTTCCTGTTGTATCTGGGATTATAGGTTCAGGCCACTGCATCCAGCTTCCCTGCAATGGAGATGGAATTTTCTGCCTGGGCTTCTGGCACCTTGATCCTCCTAGTCTTAGCTTCCCTCAATTTTGGAGGACAGATGTCTATATAGATTGATAGATATAGACAGATGTCTATATAGATTGATAAGGAAGGGATCTTGTGAACTGTTTTGCCTAGGCTGGCCCTGAATGGTGATCTTACCATTGTCAGGCTCCCAAGTAGCTAGAATTGTAGGCATGAACCACTGGTTCCTAGCAGTGTACTTTTTTTTTTTAATTAAAGGAGAGGTTTAGAATGAAGTTTGACAGACTTCTCTTCCATCACTCTTTCTAGCCAATTCTACTTTCCAGAAACAACCATACAACAACTTTTACTATTTCAGCTTTTACTAATGGTCATCAGTTATATCATCATATTAATCATAATAAACACATTTCCTGATTTGCCCATCATAGATAATGTTTATTAACATTAAGTTATGGTAAATGAAGATTTATTTCTTACTACCTTACCTCTGTTCCAACTCCTTCAAATATAGTAATGTTATTACAGTATCCCCTGTTTTAGAAAAGCAATGTTTCATTTGTTATTCATTTAAATATAAAAAATGTTTGGTTCAAACATTGTATACTTTATAAAATTAGATGTTATTTATTCTGCATCTTCCTAACCAACGTCAACTGTCTGTTTATTTTTGTGTTATTTAGGTAGAAAACATTTAGGTCCTGTTCTGTTGTATCATCCAAATATTTAAGTACTGAAAAGGATTAAATTACATATTTTCAAGGATCCTTTAGGTTGTTTTATTAGATGAATAACTTATGTTGTGGAAATATATCGCTGTTCTTCCTAGGAACTTACTGTACTATAATAGTGCTTTGCTAAATTAATTAGTGTGGAAGTGCTTTTAAAGTTATAAAATTTCAAGTAAATATATTCTTTTACTATGCCTGAGTTAATATATGAATATATCATCAATACATGCTGTTGTGGGGTAATTCTACTTTTGTCAAGATAAACATGTTATTGCTTAATTCAGTAGTTAAAGATAATTATAAAGATAATTATATAAATAAAGAGATTAAAAAATAATAGTTTAAGTGAAATATAATTTTTCTTGCTATAAGAATCATTTGTTTAAACAATTGGCTAGGAATTTTAGCACTCAACAGATTGTTACTATTTGTTTGATACACATTTAAAAAGAAGACAGCATGTTTTAAGCACTAACAAAATACATTAATCAATAATTTGTCTGTTTTATGTAGTTTTGTGTAAAATATCCTTTTAATTCTAATCTTTCAGATTGTTATTAAGAAGAGAGAACCATTAAATTTTGGCATCCCAGATGGTAGCACAGGTTTCTCCAGTAGACTAGCAGCTACACAAGATATGCCTTTTATTCATCAGTCGGTAAGTACATTACAGATTATAGGAAAAAACCTGACATTTATTTCTGTTTTCTTTATGGAAGAGAAAAATAACTATGAATTAGACTTCATCTTTAACCTTCTTTGACTTTAAAATAGTTTTAGCAGTTCAAGAAATTGAGCACAGTTTTATCCAATCCTAACATTTTATGAAGTTACAAATTATGTCACATACTGAGTGAGATAAGAGTCTCATTATACGTGTGAAAGGTAGAGAAAATGTGTTACTCAGAAATGAAAACTTGATATGATTATACCTAAAATGACTTAACTTTAATAGCAGATACGTTTTAAGTGAATTATTGATTGTTTCACACATGGAATATAAGTGTGATTTTATTTACGATTGATTTAAGTTCTAGGGTTCAAACTTTGGGTCTTACCTTTGCTAGCCAAGTACTCTAAAATCATTTGAGCCATATTTCTGACCCTTTTTGCTTTAGTTATTTTTCTGATAGTATCTTAAGCTTTTTTTGTCTAGGCTTACTTCAGACCACAGTCCTCCTAGCTATCCCTCACAAGCATCTGGGATTGTAGGCATGAGCCTGGCTCAACATTAAATTAAACTTTTTAAAGGAAAAATCATACAGAAATTACACAGCTTGAATTTACAACTTTGGAGCCATGTCACAATTTGCTTTAAAACACAAGTACCAACCAGGCACTTATGACTCATGCCTCTAATCCTAGTTACTAAAGAGGCAGAGATCTGAGGCTCACAGTTCAAATCCAGCTAGAGTAGGAACGTCTGTGAGATTTTTATCTCCAATTAACCACCAAGACACCAGAAATGGAGTTGTCATAGAGTGCTAGCCTTGAACAAAAAAATGCTCAAGGAAAATGCCCAGGTTCTTTGTTCAAGCCCTAGGACTTGCACCAAGGACAAAAACCCTATAAATACCTATCTAGGCCTCTTCTATCTGTGTTCTATACCAAATCCAAGTTTAATGATGTAAAGTAATAAGCATTTATTTAATCAGGAACCGACCAAAAGGTCAACTAGACTGGGTGGTTCTAGTTCAGGGTTCCTATTGTGTATGCAAACACTAGGATAGGGTTGTGCTTGGAGGAATTGTTTTAAAGGTGGCTCTTTCTCTTTAAAGGTTTGGCTGGGCACCTTTGGTTCATGCCTATAATCCCTAGCTAATCTGGAGGCTGAGATCTGAGGATGAAGGTTCAAAGCCAGCCCAGGAAGGAAAGTCCATGAGACTCTTATCTCCAGTACAAACCAATAGAAAACAGGAAGTGGCACTGTGGCTTAAGCGGTAGATTGCTCACCTTGAGCTAAAGAACACAGGGACAGCGCCCAAGCCCAGAGTTCTAGTCCCACGACTAAAAAAAAAAAAAAAAAAAAAAAAGGTTGCACACACAGAGCTATACTTTGTTTCAATGTACCTTTTTTGGTGGTGGTGGTGGTCATCGTAGGTCTTGAACTCTGGGCCTGGGAACTGTCCCTGAGTTCTTCAGCTCAAGGCTAGCACTCTACCACTTGAGCCACAGGGCCACTTCTGGCTTTGAACCTTGATCTCAGCCTCCTAAGTAGCTAGGATTACAGGTATGAGCCACTAGCACCCAGTTCTATGTGCCTTTTTATAAGGCTTTTTATAGAGCTGCTTGAATTTTCTCATGTCATCACTTAGAAGAAGTCATCAGATAATGAGAGAAAAGAAGAGTGAGATGGAAAGGGAAGTAGAGTTTATTGGGAGGAGACAATATTAAATAAATGATACACAAAAATGTAATTATAAACTTTGATTACTACTTTTCAATTATATAGTGCAATGAGAACATAACATCACAGCATTCTAGATGTTTTTCCGAACAACAACAATCTTTTACATTTCTTAATTTTAAACTTTATTTATATCAATTTAATCCATATTCATGTGGTTCAGTTCTACCTAGAAGATTTTTAACATTTATCACATTATGTTATTAGAGTTCTAATATCATTTATTTTAAATATATAGCCACTCACAGAGTTGGGTTGGGATTGATGGGCAGATGGAGAACATTTCTATACTATTTTTATTTCTTTTCCCCTCAGACAAAGTATAAAGGAACATTGATTATGTGAAAAAGATAAACAAGTGAACTTGCTCACTACACCAATTCATGAATTACCATTCATTCAATAAATTACATTCTTCTTTTAAACTAAACATGCCATTTTCTCCTGAGATTCATCATTTGTGCTATAAGAATTCTTTGCACTAAGGCTATTCACTTTTTTTCTGTCATTGTCACTTTTTCAAGTTGTTAACTTTGGATGCTTTTGATGGGCAGATAGATGTACTTTTTTATGTAACTAAATTTTTCTGTCTTAATACTTTCTAGCTTTTTTTTCTTAAAAGGTCATCTTTACTAAAGATATTTCCTTTTTTGGTGGTCTTAATACTTTAACTTTTTATATCTAAATGTTTTATGTTCAGTCATATTTCAGTGGAAAATGGGTAAATTTTAAGAATGGAAATTTATTTCACAAAAAAAACAGACATAATCTAATAGCATGAAGAAAAATTATATGTTAAGGTTTTAAAGAAATTCAAAGTAAAGTAATGAAACACTACATCTAAAGCTCTCTTGAATAGCAAAGATAGAAAAGAAGGCCATGATCAGTGCTGATGGAAGCACAGGAAAAGACTTCGGCTGTTGTAGAGACAATAAGTGTGTCAACTTTTTAAGAGTCATAATACTTTATTTCAGTACTTTTCAAAAGTGCACCTTCTGACTTACCTGCTCTACCTTTGGGAATACATATTAATCAAATCATTAGAAATATTAACAAGGCATATATTAATTGCAGTCAGGAAGAAAACTCAATATTTTAACATTAGAAGAAGTCTGTTTATAAAACTGTAAGCCTTCTGTTCATCACCTGTATAATAACAAAATAAATTTTTAAAAAGAATTCTTTCATAATTTTACACACTGTCAATTCCATATCTACATAGACATGCTAGAATGACCATTTACAGTGAAACAGGGAAGAAGAGCACTATTAGTGGTCTGACCTGGGCAGTAATGGGAAGCAGTAACTGATCCAGTGACAACTTAGGGAACAGGATAAGGAGGCATGAGGTAAAAGCATTTCAGTAAAGATGAATTTTGCTCATTTACTGGGTGGAAATAGGATGGAAACAGGAAGTATCAGTGGAAAAATATCTATGAATTATGGAAATGGCTCTCTGGCTCAAGTCGTAGAGTGGTCAGTCACCCTGAGCTGAAGAGCTGAGTGACAGCACCCAGGCCCAGAGTTCAAGCCCCACACCCAAAAAAAGAAAAAAAGTCTATGAATTAAGTATGCTTAAATGAAGATGAGTGTATTCATTTGGAAACTCTCAGCATACCTTAGTCCAGTCAAGCATTTCTGATTATCTGGGAGCAGTCTTTTTTCTCTCCTTTTTCTTCCTTACCTCTTACTGAAAAGAGGCAGAAAGAAGAAATGCTCTATTGTTTCTTCCAAACTAAGTAAGCAAAAGCAGAAAATTAAGTATAAAACAGGAGGAAAACTGGATTTGCCTAGGTCTTGGTTACACCTCTGAAAGTCATGCATCATAATATTGTCTGGAAACCTTCAATTCTAGGCAAACTAGGAGCACAGCCACTTGTACCTCACTTGGTTTGGAAGCTGAGATACCATGGTAGAGTGACAGATTCTGAGTTTCCTTGTTAATTTTGCTTTTTTTTCACTATAGTCTGAATTGGGTGACTTAGACACTTGGCAAGAAAATACTAATGCATGGGAAGAGGAGGAAGATGCAGCCTGGCAAGCAGAAGAAGTTCTGAGGTATTTGAGTGTTATTTACATTGCCACTGAGTAGAAGAACTAGATTTGTTCCCAATAATGTTGAAGGTCAAGGAAGTGTCTTCTGCCAAATGTCTTTCTTATCATTTGAACCTTAGAAAATTTGGATTTACTCTGCATTTCAGACTGCATATTTTAATAATAAAAGAACCACCACTACATACCCTTCCAGATCAGAAGTTACAACTGTTTTTAGTTCCTCATAGCTGAGGATATTGCCCAGCACTGCATATCTGAATGAAAATAACTAACTAATGTAACACTAATGTCTCTCGGAATAGCCAAATTAGCCAAATTTGAAATAGATAAGTCATAAACTAGCTATTCTACAGAAAAGTCAATATTATTCTGCAGCTTGTTTTGTGTGTGTGTGTGTGTGTGTGTGTGTGTGTGTGTGTGTGTGTGTGTGTGTGTGTGTGTGTGTGTGTGTGTGTGTGTGTGTGTCCGTCCGTCCGTCCGTCCGTCCGTCCGTCCGTCCGTGTATCCTGGAGCTCTAATTCAGGACCTGGATGCCACTTATAGGGTTGTTTTTTGGCACCTAATTGGAGGTAAAGTCAGAGAGACTTTCCTACCTAGGCTGTCTTAGAATTGCAATCCTCATTATCTCAGCTTCCTGAGTAGCTAGGATTACAGGCATGAGCCATTAGTGCTTGACATTCTGCAGCTTTCTAAAGTTCATTTTTGATTGTTGTCCTCCTTTATGTTAGCAATAAATTCCGTTCTTGTTACTTAAGACATTAGGTCAGAAGTAAGAACAAAATTTAATTTAAAGGGTAGCTTATAACTATGATTACTGATGAAAACTCACATTTAAAATGTATTGAATTCATGCATTTTATACTAAAATACAATCATACAGTTTTTTGTGGTTTAAAATAAAATTGTTTTTAACATAGGGATAGAAAATAAAATACCTTTCACCTGACCATCTTAAGAGGCTAGAAAATAAAATACCTTTCACCTGACCATCTTAAGAACTGAATTCATTGTGTCTTTTAGTATCCATAATTTAAAATTACCTTGAATAACCAGCAGAGGGTGCAGTTAGTTGAAAGTTCTTGCTGATAATCAGTTCTTGTTTTGGGCTTCTTTTTCAGCATTTTTGTTTTGTGTTTTTTGAAGGAGGAAGGGGTTCATATTTTAAAATACACCACTAAAGTTATGAGTTTTTGGTCAGTCATTCAGTTCACAAAAGATTCTCCCCTCACCTTTTTTTGTTGTTGGTACTGGGGTTTTGAATTCAAGACTTTGTACTAAGCATTCTGCCACTTGAGTCATGAATGCTTTAGGGTTTGTTTTTGCTTTGTTTTTTTGTTTTGTTTTTTGGTCAGCTGTGGGACTTGAACTCAGAGCCTGGGCACTGTCTCTGAGCCTCTTTCTGTTCAAGGCTATAGCACTCTACCACTTGAGCCACAGTGCCACATCTGGTTTTTGAGTGGTTTATTGTAGATAAGAGTCTCACTGGGGGTTTTCTGCCTGGGCTAGCTTCAAACCGGGTCCTCAGATCTCAGTCTCTTGAATAGCTAGGATTATAGGTAGGCTCATGCCTACTGTTACTGTTTTTATAATAGGATCTCATACTTTGCCCAACTAATCTAGAACTACAATCTTCTTACCTTTGCTTCCTGTGTAGATTGGTTGCAGGTATATGCTACCCTGTCTAGTTTACTTGTTTAGATGTGGTCTCACTTTTTGCCTTGGCTGACTTCAAACCATGATCTTGATATCCTCAGGGTCCATAATTCTTTGCCTCCCCAGTAGTAGTTGGAGAATTTAGATCATTAATGTTCAGTGCTATTATCCTGTCATGTTACTGTTCATGTAGTGTTTGGCTCTTTCCTACTCTTCTTTTGATTATGTGCTTATCTGATGGGGCTTATTTTTCTTCTCTTTTCATGGTTATATTTTTATATTTTATATTTTCTATGTGCAGGTTTTCTTTGAGTATCTTCTCGGTGCTGGCTTAGTAGTCATAAATTGCTCCAGCTTTTGTTTATCAGGGAAGGTTTTTCTGCATCCTTCAGTTATGGGAGCTTTGTAAAGTAGATTAATCTAGGTTGGCAGTTATTTGCTTGCAGTGCTTCAAATAAATACATTATTCCATACCTTTCTTGCTTTTAAAAGGTCTTCTAGTAAAAAAAGAAAATGTCTTGTTCTGATGGGCTTACCATTGTGCATGACATGGCACTCCTTCTTGAAGCTTTATTTGCCATTTTACCCATTTTGTATTTTCTATAATTTTCAGGCAGCAAAAAATAGCAGACAGAGAAAAGAGAGCAGCAGAACAACAAAGGAAGAAAATGGAAAAGGAAGCACAGAGGCTAATGAAGAAGGAACAGAACAAAATTGGTGTGAAACTTTCGTAACAAATACTCTTCAATGTCATTGTGCCAGTAGGAGAAATCTGAGCTCCACAACCCATACAACATTTGTATGGATTTAAGAGTATTTATGGAATACAAATACACTGCTTGATTTTAATGCATTCATCAGGCCATTCAGGAGACCAAGATTCTCCCAAAGTACTTGGAACTCTTAGTGATTGAGACTCAAAAGGACAGAACAGATGTACGCAACTATTTTCTTCAACATTCTCCAGATATACAACATTGTTTGCTGTAGAAAAATTATTACAAATGGAATATACCAGTACCTCTCAAGCTAGTGTTTCTAGCTAAATAAATGGGTGTAAATAATTTTATGATGGAAAAGAACTCTGCTATCTATTATGTTTTCCTTCAATGTGTATAATTATAAAATAAATAATTCTGCTATTTTTTTGTTTCCATGATCACCTGACCTAAATTAGACAGACTATAGGTAAGGCTTTCACTTCCTTATTTTCATTGTAAGAAGCTATGTTGGCATACATTTACTCTAGTGAGAACTGGTATTGTTTTATATATCATTAAGGAATTTGATGATTTGAGTTTTTAAGATGACATTAAATGCAATAATTTTATTTATCAAATATTTTTACATCATTTTCTTTCAATGATGTGATATTATACATATTTGTAATTTATATTGCATGTATAAACATTGAAAATCGACCAACATGTCCAATTTGTCTTAAATTATTATAACTTGTGAGTTTTAAGAACTAGTATTAGTACTCCTACCCTTTTGTTACAGATTAAAGATGTTTTAGGGTCCTTAAGTACCATAGTTACTCAAAAGCCATTAATTTACAAGTGCAGAAAGCCTTTAGTTCTAGTACTTCAAAGGTCTTGGATGATTTCTATATCAGTTTTATATATCTGACATAATGCTGCCTTTTGACATTACTGATTCATCAAATTTCTAATCAAGTTAACAATAATCATCTCTTATTAATAGTGTTGAATACCTTGACTAGAAGAAATAATTGCACATTGTACTTGTAAGGAAGTAAAAACATCTGATAATTTACCACAATTAAAATACAGCCTGATTTTCTATGCATTTCAAATTTTGAAGATTTTTACTTTCTTAAAAGTTATTGACCAGAATTAATATATATAAATCAAATTAGTATTTCACAGTAAAATCATTAACTATGCAATGAGAGTTTCCTAAATCTTTAAAACAAACTTCCAGACTAAATGTGATTATAGAGCTTTGGTGGAAAGCTGGTTATAGCTGGAAGCTATACTTGTAATCAAATTGAATTAGATGCAAAAATTTTTTTTAATTTTATTTTATTTTATTTGTGAACATACTGTACAGAGGGGTTACAATTGCATGGGCAGGATAATGCGTACATTTCTTACCAAGCATTGCAGCC